CTCTCTCTCTCTCTCTCTCTCTCTCTCTCTTCTCTCTCTCTCTCTCTCTCTCTCTCTCTCTCTCTCTCTCTCTCTCTCTCTCTCTTCTCTCTCTCTCTCTCTCTCTCTCTCTCTCTCTCTCTCTCTCTCTCTCTCTCTCTCTCTCTCTCTCTCTCTCTCTCTCTCTCACACCTGTAGCTCCTCCTCTAGGTAGAAGACCTTGTCCTTGAGCTTGGTGGCTTCGTTCTGGCTGTGAGCGAGAGCTTCCTGCAGGTTGGCAACGCGAGCCTCCGCGCGACCCTTCTCCTCCCGCGTCTTAGAGAGCAGCTCCTCTAGTTCCGTCGTTCCCGTGTTCTGCCTCGCGCTCACCAGCTCGTCCAGCTCCCGCACCTGTCACGGGGGAGCGAGGGAGAGGGGGAGAGAGAAGGAGGGAGAGAAGGGGAGAGAAGGAGAGAAGGGGAGAGAAGGAGAGAGGGGGAGATAGAGAGAAGCCCGTATGTAAGTATCAGTGTTGTTGTTGTTGTTGTTATTATTATCATTATATTACAGAATTCATTACAGGTTACAGTTTAATCCTAATTCGCTTTTTTATTATCATTATAAAAATTGTTGTTGTTATTGACATATTTGTTATTGATATTATTACATTTTAAATTCCAGATACTGTTCTTTACTAGTTAGAGCTTTGTTATAACATTCATTATTATTATTATTATTTTTATTATTATTATATTTATCTAGTAAAGCTCGTTGACCTTTGACCTCTCGTCGCCGCGACTGCGCGCTTGCGCTCACTGACCTTTGACCTCTCGTTGTCGAGCAGCGTCTTCAGGCGGGCGTTGTCGATCTTCTCCATCTCGAGGTTCTCCTTGTTCTCGATGAGGTGCTTCTCCGCTTGCTTCTTGTCCGAGTTCATGCGCTCAATAGGCGCCTCAAGTAGCCGCGCCTTGTCCTGCAACGCCTCGATGACTCCCTGCGAGTCCTGCGCGAGACAGTGAGTGTCTCACTGTCTCACTGTCTCACTGTGGAGGGAAGGAGGAGGAGGGGTGGGGAGGGGAGGGGAGGGAGTGGGACAAACAGAGCAGCGACAATCTCAGCGAAATCTCAGCTCAGGGCGAAGGTTACAGCCTGGCATGTACACATATATATTTCTTGCTCTGACCTCGTGGTGATTTCAATATGACCTCACTGTGACCTCGTCCTGACCTCATGATGACCTCCCCGTGACCTCTGTGCTTGCAGGAGCGGATCTTCCAGATGGAGGAGACACACTACAGCACGAACGAGGAGCTGCAGGCGACCGTAAACGAGCTCGAGGAATACCAGGAGACAGTCACCGACCTGGCCGCAGAGAGGCAGCGACTATGCGATGAGAAACAGGTAATAGAGGGCGCCACGGTGCAGTGACTGCGGCGAGAAACAGGTAATAGAGGGCGCCACGGTGCAGCGACTGCGGCGAGAAACAGGTAATAGAGGGCGCCACGGTGCAGTGACTGCGGCGAGAAACAGGTAATAGAGGGCGCCACAGTGCAGCAACTGCGGCGAGAAACAGGTAATAGAGGGTGCCACGGTGCAGCGACTGCGGCGAGAAACAGGTAATAGAGGGCGTATAACTGGCACCATAACAGCTCGAAGCGGGGCGTATTATTAGTCCCTCTCTGGGACAATCATTCTAGTTTTATTTAACCACTCTCTCTCTCTCTCTCTCCTTCTCGCTCTTCCCGGGGAGCAGGTGCTGATGGGGAATCTCTGCAGCCAGACGGAGAAGCTGGAGAAATGTCGCGCGTTCGCCGACCACCTCAAGTCCCTCCTCTACGACGAGACGATCAAGACGAACTTCCCCGAGCGGGAGCGCCACCTGGCGGCGCTTCTCAAGCAGAGCCAGGAGGAGGTGCAGGAGCTGAGAGGAAGCCACGAGGAGGCGACGACGAAGCTGCACCTTGCCACCGATCGCAACAAGGTAACCGCGGCGACGGCAGCGCGGCGCGGGGGCAGGGATGCTGAGCGTGGGACGAGTGATTCGGCATGTGTTTTGCAATATTTTTTGTTAAAACGTGAATGTTTCGGGCTGTCCTCGCCTCTCACTAGTGCCACCGCATGTTTGCGTCTCCATCATGTCTTACAGTCTCACTTCCCCTCCTCCCCCCGCTCACCTGCAGGCACTGCATGGAGATCTCGCTGAGATTGTCGCTGCTCTGTTTGTCCCA